AGTCAAAGGTATTTCAGGCAAATGGAAACACTAAGAAAGCAAAGACAGCAACACTGATATCAGATAAAATAGAAAGCAAACAAGTGTAGAGAAAGATTTTCTAATTATGATTCCAAATCCATATGCAAAAATGAAAGGAAATAAAGAGAAAAAAAAGAGATACATCTGACACATGAAATAAGTGGCAAACAAAATGACAGAAAAATAACATAAATGAAGTCAAAACACTGACAAATTGGGGGAAAATATTTGCAATACATACAACAGCTAAAGGGCTAGTATCCCTAATATATAAATAAATCCTAAAAATTAGAAGACAAAACCAAAATCCTCACTAATGGAAAAATGGGCAAGACAGGGAAAAAAACTCTTAAAAATGTATACAAAAATAGTCTTCAGAATTGAGAAAAGTATTTAACTAACTATACCAATAATAGGAGAAATGCATAGTAAATCTATACTGAGGTAACATTTCCCATGTATTTAATAGGCAAAAATCATAATGTAAAACTCCATTCTTTCTTGGAGACATTGGGGGGAAATAGGCCTGTCTCCTGTGCTGCTGAAATTGATACAAATTTCATGGAAGTAATTTTGGCAATTTTTTAACATGGCTACATATGCCTTTACCTTCTGACGTAACATTCCTAATTCTAGGAACTTACCCCAAAGACATTAACTCCAACAATATGAAAATACATACTGTTGTTATTTTCTTTGTAACACTGTTTATAACTGCAAAACAGAAAATAACCTATATACCCATACACAAATAATTGAATAAATCTGTACATCTACCCAATGATAAAGTTTTGTCTTAAATGCGATTTCTATGGACATATTTATGATTTCCAGGATATATTTTTTAATTGAAAAAAAAAGCAAAGTTCAAAAAAGCATGTATGGAATTAGTTTTTGAGGAAGGGGAAATAAGAAAACATACATATATATAAAATATAAATACATATATTTATTTATCTGTGAAAATAGATACATACACAGAAGGATACACCAGAGACTAATGAGATTGCTTATCTACAGGGATGGGTGGGCAACAAGAGAAAAGAAAACTAATCAGGCTAACTTTTTACTGTTTTTAAAATTTAGATACAATTCACATACCATAACATTCACTCTTTTAAAATGCACAGTTCAGTGGACTCTTGTATATTCAGAGTTGTGCAACCAACATGACCTCCAATTTCAGAGCACATTCATCAGTTCAAAAAGAAATGGAATACCCATTATCAGTCACTCACTACTCCTCCCTCCCCCAGCCCCTAGCAATCACTAATCTACTTTAGGTTGCTATGGATTTACCTATTCTGGTCATTTCATGTAAGTGGAACCATATTTTGTGCTGGGCTTCTTTCTTAGCATGACGTTTTCAGACTTCATTCATGCCATGCTATGTATCAATACTCCACTCCTTTTTATGGCTGAATATTCTATGATATATATATACCACTTGTTTGTCCAGTCATCAGTTTGTGGATTATTTGGGTTGTTTCGTCTTCTTTGCTATTGTGGATAATGCTACTATGAACATTTTTGTTCAAGTTTTTGTTTGAATGTTTTCGCTTCTCTTGGGGTATACAGCTGAGAGGAAATGTGATGTCATATGAGACTCTCATTAGGCAAATGTTGATACACTTCATGGCATTCCACAAGTCTTTGAGGATCTATTTTTTTTTTTTTTCCATTGCTCAGACTGGATAATCTCAATGGGTCTATTTTGAAGTTTATCAAATCTTTCTTTTGCCTGCTCAAATCTTTTATTGAGCCCTCATTTTTCATTTGTTACTATACTTTTCAACTTCTAAATTTTTGTCTCAATGATTTCTGGCACATCACTGATATTTTCTATTTAATGACATTGTTCTCAGACTTTTAGCTCTTTAGACGTGGTTTCCTTTGGTCCTTTGAACATACTTAAAATAGCTTAATTAACGTCTTTGTTGAACGAATCCAAAGTCCAGGCCTCCTCAGGAACGGTTTCTACCTATTGCTTTTTTCCTTCTGTATATGGCCCTATTTCTGCAGGTGTCTAATGTTTTACTGAAAACTGGACATTTAAAATATAATGGTGCAACTACTGAAATCAGGTATTACCCTCTCCTCAGGTCTTTGTTTTTGTTGTTTGGTGAGTTTGTGAACTATTTTTGTGAAGTCTGTATTTTTTGTTGTGTATGGCTACTGAAGTCTCTACTTCATTAGCTTAGTGGTTACTAAGAACTGGACAGACTGTCTTAAATGCCTGGGATCAATACTTTTGATTTTGCTGAGGGGCTCTGTGTTGGTGTTGGGGTACGCCTTCAACACTTAGCCAGGAGGTTGCCAAAGCCTCAAGGTCAGCCAGAGATGAGATTAGGGTCTTCTTAGCTTTTTCCCAAACATAAAAGCAGCCCTGTACATGCACGTGATTTCCTTATTTCCAAGAAATATGTCAGAACTTACCAAAGATACCAAACTTATGAATATTTATGGATAATGAATTCTCCAGATTTCCTTTTAAGCTTTTTGATGAACTTCTTGTTTGCCCCAATTGTTATTCGCTACCAGACAGCCACGATATTAAACACTGGCTATACATGTCTTTTAAAAGTGATCTCAAGAAAATAGCTTCTCAAGACAGACTTGCATGTGGGATCTTCCAGTGAACTAACAAACCAGTTAAATAAAGTTCTCAGGAAATGTATCTTGGAAGAAACCCTAATCCTTTACTGCCCATTCCAGGTGCTGCCAGACTGCCAGTTTGACTGTGATTGTGAACTCCTGGTTTTCAAGACTACCATGGATCTAGGGAGTAGGAGATGAGAACAGGGCAAGCTAAAATATCACACAGATGACTGTTTTTACCAAGATTCAGCCATTTTTCTTGAATAACACTTCTGGATTGTTATAAGTTTTTCATTAATTCCACAGTTCTGAAAAAGTTGCTTGTGACAATGAGTTCTCTAATTGCTTTTTATGGAGACAATTTCTAGCTGTCCTCACTCTTGTCATTTTTGCTGACATCATCCCGAGTGAGTCTCAGACTTAGTTTTGATATGGTATGCTCTTAGGCTAAAGAAAAAAGAAAACTAAACATATATTGAATTTTCATTAGTAGACTTCTATTTTGCAGAGGGGTCGGTTAGCAATTCTGAAACTAACTTCTGTGTATTCTAGGGTTAGGACCGTAAGTAAATATACTGCAGATAATGGGAGCCATTTTTCTCACAGTTAGAAAAAGGACTTATATGACAAAATAACACAGGAGATGGGTGGAGAAGGCTCCCACCAGTCAAATTAAGGTAAACTTCAGCATCAAAATAATGGACTTATGTTTCTGACTGTTATGTAATAACAGGGACTAGATTTGCCCTTCTATATTACATAACTAGAAAACTCTATAAAATATATAAAAACAGAGGTTTTCAGACAATGCACAAAAAGCAGTATAGGACAGTAATACCTGAGAGAAAGAAAACAAATGAGTACTTCAGATCACTGTCTGAAGAGTTTCAGAACTATAGTGCAAGGAGAAGGAACACCCAAAATAGCCTAGTGGCCTTATTGGAAGACCTAGAATTCAGAGTTTAGATAGGCTGATGTGACTAGAAATTTTGGGGGCAAAATATTAGGAGAAAGAAGACTAGAGAAGGAAGACAAAAGACTAGAGAGGAAGAAGATGCACAGAAAGTGCTCTGAAGATCTACAGAAGGTTCCCCTCAAATCAATGGTGTAAAACTGACCTGGGCAATGTGACCCAAGAATCTACCAAGGCCAGTGGGGGTAAAAGTCACTAAAAGGAGTTGGTGGAACAATCCCAGGAAACTACATATGCCCAGGTATAGTTTGTGTTCTCACCAGAAACAACAGGAAGATTTCCTAATAGAAAGCATCAGGTAGAGTTCTAGAATGGCAATGACTCCAGTGGAGCTAAATGAACCTTAGAACAAAGTTTCTCAACCTTAGCACTACTGACATTTTGGGCCGAACAATTCTTTGTTGTATATACTATAGAATGTTTAGCAGCATTCCTGGCCTATATCCATTAGATGTAACTCCCCTTCCCCCAGATTGACATCCAAAATATCTCTAGATATTCCCTGAGGGTAAAACTTGCCCCAGATTGAGTGCTACTGCATGCAAAATCA